ATTCAAAGTGAAATTAAATTTAACGATGAAGGGCAAAAAGAACCGCGTATATCCTGAACTCAATGTAGGAGATGAAGTTAAGATATTTAGGAAGCGAAAACCACATGAAAAAGAAAGAGTGAGCAACTGGTCACAGAATATTTATACCATAGAAAATATTGAAAATAAGTTAGGTCAAAGTTATTACAGAGTTGAGGGCAATACTAGGCAGTATTTGCGTTTTGAGCTGTTAAAAGTTTAATGATATAATGCTATGTTTTGCAGCCATCCTAAACCCTAAAATTTAGTAACTTACTTTTTTTTATGTCCGACTTTATTTGTTTTATTATTTTCGTTTGCTTTTGCATGGCATTTGCCTATGTTTTTGAATGCGTTTTCGTTTTGTGGTCATATTAAGACCGTTTGAGTTAAAAAAAAATGAGGTTTATTTTTTGTTGTATTTTTGTTTTTAACGGTTTTATGCTTTTTTTTTATTCGTAAAACATATGTATTTTTAACCAAGGCACTGGCAGTCGTAGAGGTCGGTCACTGTGTCCGCGGCGGTGTTGTAGAGAACGAGGATGCTTGTAGTTTTTCGGTGTCCTTCGAAGGGCAAAAATGGGAGGCACTGAAGTAAACAGGGGCACCGGACAGAGGGTGCACTCGGCATTGCGAAACGATTTTTTTGAGTGTCTCGTGCTCAATGGTCTTTCTTGTCAGCAGTTCCGTATATACATGAGGGAGATTGCGTCTGCAACATCCTTAAAGTTATTAGTGTGCAACGGCCATGACGTGTTCATGGCACCAAGTGGTTTCATTTTAATTGAAACGGTTCCAAAACTCACCTCTAACGGATGCCTATACACAACAGCGGGTTCAATTGGGAACACATTCCAAGCGGAATATTCTAGGTGGAATATTCTAAGGGGAATATCCTGAGTTGAATTTTGGAAGTGGAATATCTTAAGCGGAGTATCGAAAGGGGAATAATCTCGAGGGCCTGCTCTCAAGCGGACATATTGAGAGGCCAAGGTCAAGGTGGCTTGGAACTAATGTGACAGATCTGCACCAATATTAGGGCCCCAAAAAAGCACATAAGCAAAAATAAGGATAGGGATATCCCATATAAACCCCCTTATAATGAAGCCCAATAAGGTAGGGGTATCCCCATAAAATGCTTATGCTTATGTGCTTTTTGGGTCCCTAAAATATCTGACACTGTGATGGCAGCCTCGTCTATGGAGGGCAGCACGGTTTTGCGCCGAGGCCATCACGTGAAACAAAATGCCCAGCAGCACTTAATCTGCAGCTAAAGACTGTAGCTGCGCACTCTGATTCAGATGCTTACTATAGTGCAACGTCTTGCTGATGAGATGGGTTGTTCGTGGTAAGTGTTTTTCGTGAGCTCTCCTGTCTCATCTGTTGGCAACAGCAGCCGGTCTTGAGGATGATTGTCCCAGAGAACGACTTGTACCATGCAGTCCAGCATTGAGTCAGCCACCGTAGTTACAATGAATGGGTCCTGTGGAACTCCCAGCCCTGCGTAAAGAAAGATGCCAACAAGTGCAAGTAGGGCCTGTGGAATATCTTCGCAGAGCTGCAACCTGGACCAGAACGCATTCTCTGTCACAAACTTAGGCTTCTGAGCTGCAACCATGCAGAGGCTGTAACCAGAGAGCAGCACTGTAGGGGCAAACAAAACAGACCACCAAAGTGGAAGCACTTTCCAAGAAGCGAGTGCTACACTCACATCAGATTTGACATCCAGAAGCTGACAGGTGACTTCGATTGGCCACTTCAACGCCGAACTGATGGACTCGTAGCTGTACCACGCTGAGCTTCTGCTCTGGTCCTGACGATCCTGATGTGGCTGCTTCTTTTCTTGGCAACGCTGAGAGAACACAGTGGATAGATGCCATGCCCACTTCAACACAAATGCAGGAAGCACATAGTAGTTCAAAGGTACGGCGTCATCACTACCGGGAACTGGAATGCAAAGCAGCACCGCTCGCTCCAAATGGCAATTTCCGACGCCAAGGCCTGCCGCCTTGTCGGCAATGAAAGGCAACCCCATGCAGCCCATGATGAACAGGAGCGAAATGGTGACCACGGGCAGCACCGTCGCCACCAGACAAAGCAGAAGTGCAAGGAGACCAACCCAAACTAGACATTCCAAAGCCAACCTAGTATAGAAGATGAATGGCAACATATTCTCTTCCACAAACCTACGATTGAAGCAGCTGGCAATACAATACAATTCCAATACAACAACGAAACACACTCCAATATTAAAACATATCGGCTCTAAGAACTTAAAACATTGCCTCCATAGATCAGCCTCCCACTGCAGAACCTGCATTGTAACGCTGCTGACCGCAATGACAATCATCTGATAGATGTCGTTCGCATCAATCCCGGGTCCCAATGCTTGCATCATCACACAAGTCTCATTGGTGGGTTGCACTTGTCCATCTTGATCAGAGCTGCCGAAACAGCGCAGTTTCCCAAAAGCAGTTTCATTCTGATGGGCGCACGCGAGCATCGGGACAGCTGCAAGCATCAGGCGCGCGAGCAACATGAGACCTTTCTTGGACTGTTGAGCTTCGTTTTGATGATCTCTGGAAAAGGCTGCGGACTCGTTGCAATCAATCGCGGCAGAAACAAATCTAAATTGGGCTTCTTGAGTTTGCTTGACATGCACACAAATCAGTCCTCGTTGTGCGCTGCATGAAGACGTTCTTGTCAATGCGAAAGCATCCGACATTCGCGGCTGTTGCTGTAAGTTGGGGCATTGCTAAGGCAATGACATTACCCGGTTAGGGCTTCGGCTGGTGACTCGGGATATTGGGCTCGGGTGATGAGTTTTTCCAGGATCGAGTTGGCTTGTCTTGTGTAGGAAAGCCGGATCTGTAGATTCTAGATCGGTTCTATCTATGGGTCTTGGATGGGTTGAAGGTTGCGGGATAGGTTGTTATGGTTTTGGGTCTTCAGGTGAGTTATTCCTAGGGTTCTAC